GCAGGAGGCAGGTACAAGTCGAGTACATGTTGGGACCAGGGTGAGCGAGTAACGCGACGCGACTGAATTAAAGTGGCTGCACCACCGAGCCGTAAATTGAGTGGATGCAGCAGGGCGGTGGCCAGAAGCCCGGGACAATGAACCGCCTGTAACTTCTGCTGCTTTTACTGCCTCTAGGTACATGGCCGGTATCCTTTCCAAGAACAAGCGGCGGATTTCTTCAATTCATGATTCCATTGTTCCTTCAAGACCAAGCTTAGCCCCAACTTGCACTGCTGTAGTAGACATTTGATGATTGCGAGATTCCTGAGATACATCCCGCCTTAATCAGAGATCCATCCATCCCACTCGCTTCCTTTCAAGACCCCGTCAGCGAATCACGCACGCGCCAACACACACACCTTGCGCAACCGCTGTTTGTTTGTGCTTTGAACTACCTACTTTGCACTGAACCCATTTCCATATCGTCCATTGACCAGATTTGCGACCGAACACTGCACCCCGGCCATGGCTCCGACGGAATCCGAGGTCCTGGAGAACTACCTCCTGCGACCCTCGAGCCTGAATGCCATCATGACGTTCGAGCACTTCGCCGAGCGGTTCCCCCCCGCCCAGCGCGACAATCCCCAGATCCGATTGTTGTGGCAGGATCTTGTGGCCCAACGCGACAAAGCACTTGAAGAAGTCCAATCCAACATCGAGGCCGAGGCGACCCTGGGCCAGGCAATGAAGAAGGAGCTGCTGAGAGTAAAGAGAGAAGCCGCCAAAGGCGAGGTAGATGGCGAAGTTGAGCTGGAGCGAGCGGTGAGCACCCACACAATCAAGGACACTATTGGTGCCCTGATCACGAGTCCAATGTTTTGAGTCGCTAACAGAAATCTCGTTCCATTAACAGCTTTTCGGCAGCCTCTCCGGAGCAAAACCGGCGAAGCATTCCCTCACCTCGATCATCCCCGAAGTGGACGGAGCCGTCAAAGCCCTCGACGCCGAGATTGAACGACTGAAGAGCGAGGAGGCGGAGCTGCTGGAGTCGACAAAGCAAATCATCGGCGGCCTGAGCGATCTCCGCTACGGCAAATTTGCCAATGCGCAGATCAAAGACGAAGTCCTGGACAGCTTAACAGCGCTGCAGGACGTCTGCAGTCCCCCCTCGTGAGCACGCACGCCACTCCGAGACCTTGGCAATATCTACAAAATTTCTAGTCGCGCACTGCGACTTGATGATGGAACGGAAAAGATGTGAATTTGTTACCATTCCTCTCAGGAAACCGCGTGGTTTCCTGTTACGAGCACCCATGAAGCGACATATGTATGCAGTTCTACCCACCCCATAACGACCTATTACAACATCTACCGAGCCACAACCACTATTTCCGTCACCCGAGTTCGTTGAAGCTGAGCGCACTTATCGGCGGGGAGGAGCGCCACCGTGGCCTTCCATACGGCGCGACCTGTTTCATGCGTGTTAGCAACTGAAACCACTGGGCAGTTGTGGGACCGCGGAATACTTACATCATGCTTCGGCTGAAGTAAGAAATGACGAGCATGAAGAGCCAGCTGGGGATGAGCGCGAAAGCCCAGGTGAAGTAGCCAAAGGGAACAGTGAGACCCAGCTTGGCACCCTGGCCGTTGTAGGGGTGGAACCAAGACTCGTGGACGGGCAGGCTGGAGTGGTCGCCCTTGAGAGCCAGGAAGTCCTCGGGGGAGGCGGTGGTCAAGTTCACCCTCTTCTTGTAAATGTTGATCTCTGCGGGAGGGGGGAGCATATCAAAGATCCAGAGGCTGCCTGGGCCGGTGGACCAGCTGTTGCAGAGAATAGGCTGGTCATCGCAATTGAGCAGGCCTACGTGAGGCGCATCAGGGAGAGGAGCCAATTGCCGGGCAGACTCGTTGAAAGCAGTCTCGAGCTTGTTGCAGTGGCCTGGTCATTTGTTAGCATCGCCATAAGAAAAAAGGCATTGTGCGCCCGCCGCGCAACTGGCAGGAAGCATACCGAAGCAGGTCTTGTTTCGGCCGGTGACCAGCACCCACCACTCCTCAGGGACGGTGGCAGTTGGGGCCACGGGGCCGTAGAGAGTGTCGTTCCAGTTCTCTAGGGTGAAGGTGTGCAGCTTCAAGGGGCCGTTCTTGGCCTCTTGCGCAGAAGCATGATCGTATTTCCCAGGATTGGGCACATACGAGCTGATCTGCCCGAGCAGGTCTTGGAACTGAGCCTGGTACTGCTGGAAGTCTTGCGCAGAGGCCAGGGCGGGCAGGGCCGCGACTGCGGTGGAGAGGGAGAATCGCATCTTGGCGGGAACTAAGCGTAGGGGTAGGGATGTAGTATAATGTCAAGAAGACGATGCGGCCAAGATCTAGGAAGCTGCTCTGATCAGTACCGATGCCAGTCAGGTGAAGAATGGAATAAGCGACAGAGATCTGGGTGGAGGAGGAGGAGAAGCTTGCTGGATGTGGAAGGACAGATAGGAAGTTTATTAGGCTGCCGGTGTAGGGAATTGCATCAGGGCCCCGGCTGTCCTAGTGGTGCTGTTAGCCAACAATCTTGCATTCTTTTGGGGGAGGGAGGGGTCTATTGGCTCCAATAACGGTTGGCCAGCAACGTGCAGCAAACAACCTACGTGGGGGGGGCGCATTCTTAGCGGACCCCGAACTGCCAAACCATTTGATCCCCATACTAATTCCGTCGTCACTGCAGAACAGCGCCGACCTGGACCCTTGCACTACTCGGAAGCGCCAAGATCCCGGCCGTTGGTGCAAGTATTCGGAATCAGCCAAATCCACCCGCGCCTTACATACTTTCTGCTTCATGAACCGGACTTGAGTAGATTTGGCAGCTATGGTGAGTGATCTCCCGTTCGCATCGTTAATATTACCGCAGCCAAAGAACCCGCACTCATTGTTACTACAGGCCCCTGGACAAGCAGGTACCAAGCGCAAACGCGGTCGGCCACCCGCCAGCGCGTCTCACGCGTCTCCGAGAGACCCTCCCAACCCCGATGCCACTGGGGATACCAACGCCGGCGACGAGGAGGTAGCTCGCCCCCGGAAGCGTGGACGACCGTCCAAGACCCAATTGCAACAAGAAGAGGCACCTGCCAGCCCCCCGAGGGCCACTAGTTCGAAGCAGCAGACCAAGGAAAAGGCACCACGGAGAAGAGGGGCAAAGGCAGCACCAACTGAGGAAGATGTTACTGAGGAACAAGCACAGGAAAGCGGTCGCCGAGGTAGGAGGAAGGCTCGAAATGAGCCAGAGGCCACCGCCCAGGAAGAGGCCGCGGACGAGGCAACTGCGCGTGCTGCCCCTCCACCGGGCAAGAGGCGGCGAGGGAGACCTTCAGGGCAGCGTGCATCGCTGGACGCACAGGATGCTGAGCCTGCAACGAAGAGAAAACGCGGGCGTGGCCGGAAACAAAACACCCCTCCACCGGAGCCCGAAGTAGAGGAAGAGGAAGAGGAAGCGGAAGAATCACAGCACGAAGAGCAGGAACGGCCGCCGTCCAGACGCAGCCCCGAGAGGGAGAGCTCCCCGTCAGAATCCGACAGCGAGCTCCCCACCAAACCATACCTCCACGTCGCCTCGTTCGTACGCGGCATCCGACAGTCGACGATAGACGCCAAGTGGACAGCCCTCGCCGGCCCCTCCATCGCAGCGGCGACCGAGACCCTCGAGCTCGCCCACCGGCCCATCCTCCAGCGCCTCTCCAACTCGGAGCAGCGCCGCCAGCACACCTCTTCAGCCCTCGCCGTCCTCTACAGGCGCATCACGCGCAAGCTCCACAAGGGCCTCCCCTTCCCCCCCGCCACAGCCAGCGCAGGCTCGCTGGTGGCCCGCCGTGGGCGCCGAGGAGGCGGCGACGGGGGCCGCGAGCTCGAGCTGGACTTTGAGCGCGTCCTGGACGCCTCGCAGGCCCTGGAGCGGCAGCTCGACCCGGCCCTCCACGCCGTCGAGCTGCTGAGGAAGGAGAAGGAGCGCCTGGAGCGCGAGCTCGAGCGCGACTACAAGACGCTCCAGAACCTCGAGGCCGGCGCGAGGGGCCAGTCGAGGCAGCAGCGGGAGCAGCTCAAGAAGGCGCACGCCCTGACCCCCCACGCGACCGCATCCCGCGCGGGCAACGACGTGGAGCTGGCCTTTGACGACGAGGGGCCCGTCCCCCCCGGTGCGTTGTTCAAGGTAAGTCTTTGTCACTGTTCAATGAAGCTGCAAACAAACAAAAAGACATGTGGAAAATCTAACGAGCCCTTTTAGGATTTGCAAGGCGAGGAGGAGATCAAGGAGTTGGCGCTTCAGCTTGGAGGCCACGTAGAGAGTATCAAGGCAAACTTGAAGCAGACCGAGGGCCTACTCCCTCAGCTGAGTCTGAGCAAAGCTGCGTTGAGAGGAGTATTGTATCAACACCTCACGCAGGCACAGTATGAAAAAGTGCTTTTTGGCTAGGACTGTAATGAATATATTGAATTATGACCCTTCAACACCGAGTTCAAGACAAGAATCGGGGCAGAATACCAGGGTTAGGGGCATTTAAGCCACGATAACAAAAGCTTAGGTACGTTTTTCCGACAAAATGACCGCATAGGCAAAGGAACAAAGATACAATACGAATTTACGATCTTCATGGAACATGTCACAACAGGCACGTTTTATGGTTGACAAGAAATCTAGAATCTTCTACCCTTTCCATTTTATATGACAACTTTGTACACGCTAAGAAGTAAAGACACATATCCACAGCCGAGTGTGAACCCTGTGCCAGCCAGAAAGGAAAAATGGACGAAATGACAAAGAAATCTCCTAAACCTATCCAATGGTTTATCTGCAAAAACTCAAGACCAAGGCGCCATAAAATGTTGGGGTGGATTTTCGGGTGTTCATGAGCCATAGTCACGTTGAATCAAGCAGCCGATGGGGGACCACCCGCCCACCGAGTGACGTCCGCTGTCAGGACCACATGCCCCGTCATGCGGAACATCTTATCCTTTCCATGGGAAGGTAGCTTAATTGCTTAGCGACGGAGCTTGGCAAAGCCGCCAGTAGGGAAGACGGTGGGGGTGGGCACAGTGCCGTTGCCAGTAGGGAAGGGAACGGTGACGGTGGCAGAGAGGGTGGTGGTGCTCTCAGGAGGGCACTCATCGTCATCACCCTCATCGTCGTCGCACTCATCGTCATCCTGAGTGTCGTCGTCGTCGCACTCATCATCGTCGCCACCGTTGTTGCCGCCGTTGTTACCACCATTGTTTCCTCCGTTGTTGCTGTTTCCGCCAGTAGGGGAAGGAGCAGAAGAAGACTGAGTTCCAGTGGGAACAGAGCCAGCACCGGTGGAGGTCTGGCCAGCACCATTTCCAGCAGAGGTCTTGTCGCCGCCAATGGTGACATAGACGGTAGAGGCAGGAGCAGTGACGGTGATAGTAGAGGCAACGCAGTCGCCGTTTCCGCTGTTGTTGCCGTTACCACCGTTGTTACCACCATTGTTGCCGCTGTTGTTGCCGCCGTTGCTAGGGCTGTTGTTGGTCTCAGTGCCACCAGGGGCAGATACAGTCAGAGTAGTGGTACCAGTGGTGGTAGAGGTGCTGGTGGAGGTGATGTCATTACCACCGTTGCCATTGCCATTGCCGTTACCGTTTCCGCTGCCAGGAGCAGAGGTGATGCCAGAGGCGCTGGAGCAAGGGACAGTGACGGTGGAGTAGATGGTGGACTGAACAAGAGTGGTCCTGGTGAGACCGCTCTCGACGATGGTGGTAGGAACATCGGTGACAATGGGGATGACCGAGGTGGTCAGGCTGGGCTGGTTGGGAGAACCAGAGGTGATGGGAGCGCCAGTGGGAGCGGGAGCAGAAGAGTTGGTCCAGGGGAATCCGGTGCTGCTGGGGAAGACAGGAGCATTGCTGGAGATGTGCTCGTTGACCAAAGACGAGGCAATGCTGGAGGCATCAGAGACGGGGCAGACTGTGGTGGTCAGGGGAACAGTCTCGGTGACAACGGCAGTGGTCTTGGCGGACTCGGGAAGGTTGTCGATGTCACTCTGCTTGGCAGGACAGTTGGTGACAGTGGGAGCACAGCTGGTGATGGTGTGGACCTGAGTGACGCTGACGGTCAGGGTGGTCTCAGAGGCTGTTTCGTTGAGAGCACGACGGTTCCAGTGGAAGTGACGGGGAGAGTGGGCACTGGCCACGGCGACGAGGGCGCCAACAGCAGCAACGGAAGCCTTCATCTTGACTGTTACTTTGGGAATGAGACGGAGTTGTGGGTCGTGGTGGTGATCGAGTTAAAATCTCGAATGATTCTCTCCAGGAGACGGTTGGATTGCGAGCAGAGCGAATTCGATTGAGCGAGTCCTTGGACAAATGCAGGTTTGATCTCGAGCGAGTGAAATCAAGTTTTGACTTTTGTTTGCGTTTTGAAGCCGGAGCTTGGAGCGAAAGTACGTTTCTTGGGATGGGTGGCACAGCCAGGCGAGAATAGAAACCAAATGAAGGAATGGCAGGCAAGTCGCGAAGACGTTGCAAGAGAGCGAGAGACCTGGAGAGCGAACTTGAAGGTCAACGGTGGAGAGAAGAAGTGAGAAGAAACGAAGGAGGAGGGGGAATGGGAGTAATAATAGTAGTTGCCAGAAAGGAGGCTCGGCGTGCAGTCCCATGTTCCTTTTCCAGGTGCGATTTTTCGGGCGAAACACCCATATTCCCTGCCTCCATGCTTCAGACTAATGGGCCCCGTTCGATGAGATGGGGAGAGGACAGAGAGGTGTGTGTGATTTGTTTGGCCGAACGGGGACAGCGGTTACAGGGGCCAGGTTCCCAGTTGTTTCGCCATCCTCAGAGCCATAATGGGCTCAATTTCGCTTGCTGGGAATGGCAGGCGGCCTATTCTCATCCGATCCTATAATATCATGTTGTGCAACGCCGTGTCCCGTGTTCCTGGCGGGACATTTATCCATCAGATGGGAGACCTTTGGCGCCGGGCGTGCATTCTGGAGGGTGTGAGCGATGGCACCCAGCAAGACGTCGAGGAGGAGGCAGCCCAGCCATCTTTGGCGCGAGCTGGGTGTTAGTCAGAGCAGGCACAGATAGGATTCGCCACTGCGCTGAGACTCGGTTGCATTCGCCGTCAGTTGTGTTCTGCTGGCGGTCTATAGCAGAGCAGGGATCCAGGAAGGGGAAAGTTGAAGGCACGTTGAGGAGCAGGGAGCGTTCGTCTGCAGGTACGGAGTTGACCTGAGACAGAGCCACCAGGGCGCGGACCAATGGCAGGGCGCCAATTTCTGGGCAGGCACCACCTCAATGCCCCTCCCCCCTGAGGCCAAGCCCATGGTACCTGAGCCTATCTGCTTGGGTACTAGCTGTGGCTGCTGCCCGCTACGCTTCTGGAAGGTATCAGCACCCGTCGCGAGGTATCTGCTAATTGGAGCCCCCATCCTAGTCGCTGGCTGATCAGTCTTTCCCGTTTATTTTATGTGCGTGTTTCAACCAAATCATCTCCAACAACGGTCGCCCTCTAGCGCCGCCAGGGCCCCTCCCCCTCCTCATTCTTGCTCGACGTCGAGCAGCTTCCGAATCATCGAATGATCCGGCACCCATCGCTCTCGCTCACGCCATGTCCCGCCTACAGCAGGATCGCGGCCTACCTACATTGTACGACTCGGCCTCAGTTGAGTTGGGGCTACACCAGCCAAATTTATTGCCCTTCATTTCATTTCGGCGTCCAGCAACGCCATCTCCTCAGGTTGGTTTTCCATCAGCGCTGCACACGGGTCCTTCGGGCATTGTCAGCGGGGGAAGCACCCGATGCCAGGTAATCATAATTACTTGTTATATTAGGTGATGGGTAGGTAAGAAACTCAGCCCCCGTCAGCCCGCGTACGCAGGTCATACCGTCGCAGCCAGATTCCATGATTAATTACCTGATGACCGGAGACCGAGGGCTTCTTCCCTGTTCTGTGGGTGGTAGTGAAGTTGCATGAATGACTGAATACGCAGGACGTAGCACTACATTGCTAGATCGAGGGTCGGTCAACAGTTATTACATCTCCTGTTTGAGCAGACTCTCAGAGTGTGTTGCAGCTTCAGGGCTGCCCTCGCTGGGTCGTATTGCAAGTGCTTGGCAAGCTTCAGCACATCGTATCGTCGCCCACCGCTCCAACAGTCCAAGGCCGATTGATCTACGGATCGTATACGTGTCACGCCCAGCGATGCGATACGAATTGTGCGGATCCACCGGCTTCATGGTCCTGTCCGCCTGTCCGCCTGCTCGGATGGCAAAGAGACGGAAACCCTAATTCTCACTCCCCAAGCAATGGCGATAATCCAGCTGGATCTGCCCCTTAATTACTAGCTACCTGACTAGCGCTGTCATGCCCTAGGAATCCGCCAGGAGCTTACCGAGCACCCTGGTCCATGAAGCGCCGCTACTGCGTGTGCACTGGGCACCGTGATGCGTCTGCATGCTGTCTTGCTGGAGCCTATGATGGCCTGGGCAGATTCCAAGCTGAAAGCACATAAACTGAGCGAGTTTTTCATCTTCATCTTGTTATTTGGCCCGCTTTTTGTTTATGACAAACAAGGTCTCGGCTCTTTGGCCAAGATGACAGGACCAAGACCTTGCCACGTAATTATATCAAACCCTCTCCTCATTAAAGAACTAATTACCGTTGAAGATTCAAGACGAGGAAAAGAAACAAAGAGGCGCCCTAGCTTCGGGATTAAAGATGTGTTTTAGTGTGACAGCCACTCCGACACCGTCGTTTTGCCCTTGTATTTCTCAGCCACCATCTTGCCCCAGTTTGCGCCATTTCTGATTCTACATACTCTAATTACACGGGTGGCTAGACTTGTTTCGAGACTTGAGGCAACTAAACACTTCCGTACCTGACACGGCTTAATCGTAGACTTAGTAAAAGCTTTCGCCGATTCAAGATGCCATCGGCTTTGATGTGCTGCGCTGCATGATCCTCTGGTGCCCGCTTTCAATTTCACTTCTGCTGCACATGAGACGACCAATGTCATTCGTGAAATATACATTTTACTAGTTGATTATTCAATCTCTTCGATACGCGGCCGTGGCCTGCTCGATGGTGTGCCAAGCCCAGCCGTATCGGCGTTCACTCTGAGACCTTCCAGCCGCCCAACCCTCGATGTTTCATAGTCAGCCTGGGAAGGTACCAGGCTTGCCATGTGCCAGTTCTCCAGACTCTCAATCACATCCCGTGCATGTTGCTGCACCAGCCCATCGTTGTCGGTACCTGCGACGTACTGCAGAGTCCGGGAGATGTCAGACCGACTTTCCTCCTGAAGCCCAAACCCGAGGGAAACGCCGGATTCTCGGGCAGACTCCAGTGCTCGGATGAATCCAAGGACAACCATGATGGCGGCCCTTCGGAGAATAGCTTTCTCCATTTCCGGTTCCAGAGCAAGCACGCTGACGCACAGGTCGACCGCTGTTGATACGAGAAATGACCCGACCCCTCTGATGTTCGTCTCCAGCGCCGTTCCTAGAATCGACAGCGCGGAGGCACGCATCCTGATGTCCTCGGAACCCCTCTTGCTCTCCCAGCCCTGTAGAATCTGCGCAAGGACGTCGTCTCTTGCCCTTTCATCCGCTGTGCGTTCATCTTCGTCGTCCTGTTCGTCATCCCCATCCTCCTCTTTTTTTATCTTCTGCTTCCTCTCCTCCCGTGTCTGCTTCCGCATTGCCTTGGGGCGGTATCCGCGACGACCGGCAATAGAGAGCAACGTCTCTGTCACCTGCAGGGCTACTTCGCCGGCAAACGTCTCGCCCAGCCGTTCGATGACTTGTACCAAGGCCTCGCCGAACCGTAGTCTAACATCTGTGCTGAGCTTCTCTTGGGGATCCAGGAAGTGATCCAGTAGTTCTTTGACGGTTGACCGCGGATGTTTGTTGGCCATCTGTGTGAAGAGCTTCACCACCCGTAGATTGACGTAGTCCTCGCCGTTTTCGAGCAGATTTGACAATAGAACATTCACTGCAGTGATATCCAAAACCGAACTCTCGCCCTGGATAAGCCCCGACAAAAGATTCAACCCTTCTGATATGACTGGCGGAGGACTGTCAACTCCGGTGATGTAATTCATGGCCAGGTCGTATGTTCTCCGGTCTTCCACCTGGCGTTTCGAAGGGTGAGATATCGCCTCCTCCTGTTGATTGAGCTCATCCTTGTACCTCAGAAGTAGGGATAGATTTGACGCCGTCTGCGATATCTGGGGGCGAGATTCACCACCCAGCCTTTCCAGGGACCGCTCGATCACATTGAGCTCCGTTTGATTAATGTCTGATTTACTAAAGGTCGGCGCTGTGATGACGAGATTGAGTAAACTCAAAGTAACGCCTACAAGGTCATCCGCAAGTCGGGACGTATCATCAACCCTCAGGACTTGGCAAATCAGCTCAAGCAGCCGGTCAAACTGGTTGATAAGCTTCTCGGGGTTCTTTTCAAGTAGTTTTTGCAACACGGTAACGTCGAATAGGGTCTCCATTGCTGCCTGCGGCCCATCATCTTGATTGTCTGGCGAAGAGATGATGGTATCTGGTGTCCCTGCAGTCTTAATCCATCGCTGGAAGAGCTCGATAAATATAGACGAGACGTTTTCGGGAGAGCAGCTGTCCACGAGGAGGTCGGCGAGGATTTCTGCCCGGGACTGTAGCTCAGTCCATTCAATCTCGCTTGTTGACACGCCCGCCGCAAAACTTTCAGAGACGATTTCGAATCCTTGACTAGTCTTACGGTATTGCCATGGCTGTTCGGATGCGGGGAGGGAACCTCTGCAAAGTAAATTCCTTATAAGTATCGAGGCGGTCTCGATGTTACCCGATAATTTAAGGTACGCCTGTAGTAAGTTTCGGGCGGCTTTCGAAATACCATTAGATCCCCCCTCATCCGTGGGCAATGAGGCCAAAGCCCACAGCTGGGGAAGCACCGGCTTCAGCACTCTGCTGCAAAGGCCAGGTGACGGGTTTGAGAAGACCAGAACGCTAAGAAGCCGGACTGATCGCCCTACTGCCTCACTTTTGACTAAAACCTGGCCCTTGGTGAGGTCGAGGATCTCGTCGTCCTCTTCATCTTTGGCTATTTTCGCTGTCAAACGAAGTCTTGTGGATGGGTTCATGCTTTCTATCAGGGGCTGGACAAATACCTGCCAGCCTGGAGAGCCTGTCGATATAGGTTAGCTACTGGACCGAGATTTCACCCATGAAGATGTT